AATCTCATGGTATGTAAATTGTACCCCAGTAAAGCTGTGAAGAAAGTTTTTCCTGGCCAGGGTTGAGATCTCTAGGTTAGAAGGTTAGTGTCCTAGGAACCCCTCCACCGGGCCCCAGGCTCGGCTGGTGTCCTCCCCCTCCATCTCTCTAGGTCAAATTTCCTCTGATCTCAGACTTACAGGAAGTTGCTAGCTGTCACCCCAGCTTCTGTTTTGGAGAAGTCTGGGATTAATTCTGCAGACTCAGCTCATATGGGTGCAAATATCCTGGCTCTTGGTCACTCTGCCCAAAGTCGAAAAACGGGCCTCAGAGGGAATGGGTGGGAGGGCCGAGGGGACCATCACAAGTGCTCCCTACCCTCATCCTGAGATGACCCAGAGGCCACCTGGGCATGCTAGTGCTAACCCCGAACAGGGACTGAATTGGGGTTCCAAGGCCCTGGTTCCACCCGCACCTCCCCAGTTCCCCGGCAGGGCTCAGGCTGACTATTCTCCAAACACACCATACCTTTTGGTCAGCCCTGGTGGTCTAAATGGTTAAGATTTGGCTCTCTCACTGCAGTCCTGGATTCGTTTCCTGGCCAGGGAACCGTACCACCTGTCAGTTGTCATACAGTGGTGGCTGCATGTCGCTGAGATGCTAAAAGCTATGCTACCAGTCTCAAACATCAACGGGGTCACCCAGCTTCTAGACTAAGAAAGACTAAGAAGAAGGACCCGGTCATCCACTTCCAGAAAAACTGACCACAAAAACCTTATGAATAGCAGCAGAGCACTGTCTGATGGAGCGCCCGGAAGACAAGAGGATGGCGCAAACAGACTGGGCAGGGTTCCACTCTGCTGTCCACGGGGTCATTAGAAGTTGGAGTCTACTCGATGGCACAACAAATCATAACTTTCCACACCACCAGGCACTAGCACAGGCTGTATCCTTCCTCTTTCCTGGCCCACCTGGAAAATCCTATTCTTCCAACAAGATTCAGCTCATTGTCATCTCTTCTGAAGCCTTTTCCTTTGCATGCCCACCCCGGTCATCCCAATAGAGCCCTTATCTGCCTGCACCAGAGGGTTTATTTAGGTCTGCCTCTCCCACTCCTCTGTGGCTCCCTGAAGACAAACAGCCTGTATGATGGCTGGTTTTCAAGTTCTAGGACAGCCCTCAATACATAATTGTGCCCAGCTGAGTGAAGAAATGGACGGGAACATAACACCACATCAGACACTTACAGGGCCGGGAAGACCAGAGGAGACGCCCCATTCCCCTCATCTATTCTTGGCCTAAACAGCTTCTCTCATCTGGCCCCAGAATGGCAGAGAGCCACTCCCTGTGGTAACCACAGTTTGGGGTGGAAGCCTTGCTTCCACAGCTCTCCTGGGGCCAGGCCCATTCACCCTGGAAATTGCCTTAGTGTTATTTAAACTGCAGAACAGGGTCTCTGGGCAGCTCAGGCCTAGCCTGGGCGGGGGCAGCCTGGAACAGGATCATGCTGCAGCCTCCCTTCCCCAACCGCCAGGATGTCAGGGGTTGAAATGCGTGCTCCCCTCTCATCGGCTTCTTGCTGTAGTGGGAAACAACAAGGGGGTTAAGGTCTGTGGCAGCCTGCGTGCCTCTAGGTTTATGTTTCTGCTTTAACATAGAGGCTGGCCTTTGTCCTGAGTTGAGGCTGGGGTTCTCAGAGGCCCTGACAGCAGGCTCCCAGCCAGGACTGGGTATGCTGGAGGAGCCCTGCTTATCCAATCTCGTCTGCCAACCCAGAGCTGCTGTCTCGAGAGGCGTCTTCCTTCAGTAGAGTTGATGGACTGCCTGAAAGTCCCAGGATCTTTGCTCCACCTGTTCATCCCCATCTTGGGAGCAGAGGACTCCAGGCTGCTGGCAGGGACTCTGCCACAGCATGCGGCTCATGCTCTTCTTGGTGTCCCAAAGGGCGCTGCCTTGGTGTTCCCACTACAGAAACCAGAGCCTGGAATAGAATTAGGATACCTGACAAAGTCACCCACAGGCCAGCCTTGTGGCCAAGTGGTAAGTTCGTGCCCTCCGCTTCAGCGGCCCAGGGTTTCGCCGGTTCGGATCCTGGGCGCAGACCTAGCACCGCTCATCAAGCCATGGTGAGGCAGCGTCCCACGGAGAAGAACTAGAAGGACATGCAACTAAAATATACAACTATGTACTGGGGGGTTTTGGGGAGAAGAAGAAGAAGAAGAAAGGAAGATTGGCAACAGATGTTAGCTCAGGGACAATCTTAAAAAAAAAAAAAGTCACCCAGACTTCAACCCAGTGTGCTCTGTCCACGGACAGCAAATATTTAGAGGGTCAGGCACAGTGCTGGGCATGGGGACGACAGGGATGAACAAGCCCTGGGCCCGCCCTTAAGCAGTCCAGAGCCTAGTGGGCAAGGAAAATGGACAAACGCTGAGCACAGGCTGCTGTGGGAATACACAAGAGGAGACCTGACCTAGCCTGGGTGGAGGGGAGTTCAGGGAAGGCTGCCTGGCAGAGGTGACATCTAAGCTAAGCCTTGAAGGCTGAATTAGCAAAGAGAGGAGGAAGAGTGAGAGCAAACAGTATATGCAAATACCCAGCTTCAAGAGAGAACCTGGCACAGTTAGAGAAATTATACATAGTTCAAGATGGCTGGGGCCAGATGAAGGAGAGATGGTTGGAAGGTCCGGATGGTGAATAACATGAATGTGCGTAAGTACATAAAAGTACATAAATGAATAATATGAATGCACAGCCCGTAGGAAACGCTCTGCTATGGGAACTCTCATTCTAATTATGGTCTTGCAAGCCAAGCTAAGGGTTTGGGATTTTATCCTGCAGTCAGTGGGGAGACATCCAAGGGTTTTAAGCCCAGGGTGACTTGATCAGATTTGTAATATGATTAGACTTAAAGACGTCCCTGTGACTGCAGGGGGGATTATGGGCTAGAAGAGAAGTAAGGCTGGAGGACCAGAAGACCGGTTTGGAGACTACCGTAACAACTCAGAGAAGAGGTACGGGGTGAGGGGCTTCGAATATCTCCCAACAGTAGAACAGACCCATATACATTGCAAGATAGAATACAGCCGTGAAAATGAACTGTGGCTGCGTGCAACCACAGGGGTGAATGACTCTTGCAAGTGCGATGTGGAGCAAAAGAAGGCCAATACAGAACAGAACTGCATAATTCCGTTTACGTAAAGTTCAAGGAACAGGCAGTGTTCAGGGATGCATGCTTAGGTGGTAAAACAATAAAAGCAATGAACTGATTATCACAAACTAGTGGGGAAAGTGATTACCTTGTGCTTGACAGCCCCTGGGCTGAGCGATGTTTACCCAGGTGTCCACGGTGACAAGTAAGTTTTATATTTCTATTTCGTGCACTTTTCTTCATGTGTGCTATTCTTAATGACAAAAAGGTTTAAAAAATAACGGGGCTTGCTCTAAGGTAGTGGGCATGAGGATAGAGAGAAGAGGTTGGTTTTAACCACGTGTGGAAAGTGAGGAGAAGGAGGAGATGAGGCATCTTTTGGGAGGAAGGGGTTTGGGGAGGCAGGTGAAGAGCAGTGTTCAGCCCTCTGAGTAAGGGAAACTGGCAAGATATCGAAGTGGAAATGTCCAGGACCACCGTGTGAGCTCAGACAAGTCATATCCCCCAAGTCCAGATTACCTTCTCCACAAGAGAGGGAAGCGGTATGGTTTTCTGGAAGGAGGCTTGGGTTTTGGCGTGGGGAACCTGGACAATTATGGAATGGCCGTGTGAACCTGGACAATTACTCACCACTGCCCCCTCCCCCAGCCTCAGTGTAGACCTGAGATAATTTCTACTCTCAGGTTCTTGCAGAAGATTACATGGTAAAACAGGAATGGCGCCTTGGTCAGTTAGAAGAACTGAACAATAAATGAGAAAACACTTTGAAAACACAGAGCAAGAACAGATAATCACTACGTGGTTTTTACACTCTCATGTTACTAAGAACTAGCTGGGGAGCTTGTAAAACTGGGCACTCTGCAACTCTAGAGTGACTATATAATTTATTGTCCAAACCAGGGCACCTTTGAGAAAGGAGGCAATATTAATAATCATGCCGGGGCAACAGACATAAACCAAGACTGCCTTAGGCAAACAAGTCCTCCCACGTAGGTCCGAGGTGGGGACCAGGCCTGTGACTTTTATCAACTCTCCCGGGTGAACTGTGTGCCGAGGGCAGGACGGGCGGCAGCTGCTGGGCCCACGTGCAGCTGGTTTACTGGGGGGCTCAGGTCTGCGGGGAGCAATCCTCACACCCCTGTGAGGCGAGAATAGCCAACATTCATTAAGCGTCAGGCACTGCGCTGAGTACTTTACAGGCACCACCCCCATCACTTCTCAACAAACCTTTATGAGGTAGGCGGACTTATCTTCCACCAGAGAAAACTAAAGCTTAAAGAGGTTAACCGACTCCTTCAAGGCCACATATCTGGGTGGAGGAGCAGGGGTTTGAACCTGGTCGGACTGAAGAGAACCCTAGTTCTTAATGACCGTTCCTCCTCCTGCCTCCAGTTTTGTGGACATTCCTCCACCGCCCACCAAGCTGCGTGGGGCCAGGAACCACCGACACCGGAGCGGCTGGCCAGCTGGGGCACCTGCAGCCTCTGGCTCCACGCGGGACGCGCAAGTCGAACAGCAGGTGGCAAGCTTGCCTTCCTCCCCAGACGCCACGGGGAGGTCCGTTTACTTGGGAGGTGGAGCTAGTGAGCTGTCTGCTGGCCCCCAGCAAAGAATCCTGCAGCGAGCCGGGCACGGGGCGCCTAGCAACCGCCAGTCTCCCGCCGGGCTCCCTTTTGCGGCTGGTTTGAGGTCTCAGTGAGCCTGTGCACTGCAACTAGTAGCCACAGATATGTCAGTGTTGGAAAGCCCCTCTGATGCATTTAGTTTATAGTTTCCCAACTTTGCCAAGAGCCATCTTTATTAACTGTGTCACACGACCGTTTTGAGTTTCTTCTTCTCAAGAGCACTTAGAATTTGTGCAGCCTCATTACAGGAGAAGCTTCGATTTGCATGCAGCCTGGATACAGAAACGCCTGGAAAACATTCTGGAGAGGCCCAGGGAAGGCAAGCGACAGTCGGAAAGTGGCAGTGCCGCGCCGGGGCTAGGACCCAGGTCCCCGCTACGACCAGAGCCTACGTCACCCAGACTCCACCCCCGGGTCGGCGTCTGAGCAGAGCCCCCGCAGTTTCCAAGCCCGCCCCGCGCCCCCTGGTGCGCACACTCAGTGCGACCCCGCCGGCGCACCGCCCACCCAGGTCCTCCAGCCCCAGCGGCTGTGCTCGCGGGGTAAACTGAGGCAGGGGGCGTGCTTGTGAGTTCGTTCCTTCCTCGATCCACACCCCAGGACCCGCAAAACTGCCTCCCCCTTCTTAGACCCGCATGGAACAACAGGAAAGGACGGGAGGAAGGGGAGGGGGGCCAAAAGCAAGCAGGATCTGGGGAGCTGGCAGGTCCTGCCACACTCAAGATGGCGGCGCGGCAGCGGCGAGGTCCCTCAGAGGCGGTACCAACGCATGCGCAGCGCGGAGTCCCGGCCCGGGACACAAGATGGCGGCAGCGGCGCTGGGGAGGGCGAGGCGGAGGCGGCAAAACGGGCGGTCGAGCAGAACGTGTAGCCGCGTCCCCTCGAGTCCGCTCCGGGCAGGTAAGCGCCCCAGGAAGCCATGGTCCCGCTGCGAGCCGCGCCAGGCTCCGGGGATCCGAGGCCAGGCGGCGGTGGCCTCTCTGGCGCTTTCCGCTCGGGGCCGCCGCTTGCCCCGTCTCTGCCGCCGCCGCCATCTTAGGCCCGCGGGTGGGCGGCCGGGCTGGTGGCCTGGATGAGGGAGGTGGGCCCGGAGAGCGCGGGCGGAGCGGCCTCTTGGGCCCCTCCGCTGCTGCCGCCGCCACCGCCTTTGTGTCGGGCTCCGACTCTGAGTCGCCTCAGCCCGGGGGCGGGAGCGCGCGGCGGGGCGGGGGGCGGAGCTCGGGAGATGGGCCGGCGCGCGCGCGCCAAACAGCCCGCCCCCGCTGGGGCTGGGGGAGGGGAAGGTGCGCGCGCGCGCCAGGGCTCGGCCCTTGTTCGCGCGCCCGCGCGCCTGCGCACTTCTCTAGTTCTTTGACTCCTCCCTACTGGGCCGGAGGATTGTGATTGGTGTATTACTGAGATGATCCCGCCCCGTCCTCCTCCAATCCCGGAGTCGAACACTCTGCCTTCTAGTGGGTTCCTCTGGTTGCGCAGATACACGTTGTCCTTAAACTGCTGGGCGCTGTGAGAGTGCGGTATGTGTGGGGCCGGCAAGCCACAAGATAAATAAAAACATCATCCTAATACGAGCAGTTCTGTGTTACTGGGAGTGCGCTCTGCTAGACTCCACGTAGAGCCCATAGAGGTAGAGTGATTCCGTCTGTAAGTCAGAAAGCCGTAGAAAGGCCTGGAACCCGGGCCTTTCCGAACCCAGAGCCGGCACTTCTGCCACTGACCTGGTGCATCCAAATCACTTGGGGAATTAAAAAAATTGTTTTAATCGTAAAAAATTGGTGAAGATTTGAAACAGCGTGAAGTGAAATAGTTATCCCATTCTTGGGATACGTTTAAGAAATACCTATTCTTGGGGCTGATCTGGTGGCACAGCATTTAAATTCACATCTTCTGCTTCAGTGGCCCGGGCTTTGCGGGTTCAGATCCTGGTTCCCGTGCTGTGGTAGGCGTCCCACATATAAAGTAGAGGAAGATGGGCATGGATGTGCACTCAGGGCCAGTCTTCCTCAGCAAAAAAAAAAGGATTGGCAGCAGATGTTAGCTCAGGGCTAATCTGCCTCAAAAAAAAAAAAACACCGAAACCCAGTTCTTGTGTATCTCTCCTCCCTGTTTCTGACTCCTATGATGTGGACTGAGGGCATGAGTCTGAATTTCTTTTTTGCAAACCCCCCCAATGGTTCTGATGCACAGCTGGTTTGGGAAACACGGCAGCGTCCCCATTTGGCCTCAGTAAGCTGTGTGTGCTTCCTGCATAGTTATCTTCCTGGTGCATCAGTATCACACAGTATTTCTTAGGGAAAATGTTTTTCTTTTTCTTCTTTTTTTTTGCAGGGGAAGATTCACCCTATGCTAACATCTGTTGCCAATCTTCCTCCTTTTTTTCCTTCTCCCCCTGCCCCCTGGTGCCAGTACATAGTTGTGTGTAGTTGTAAGTTGTTCTATATGAGCCGCTGCCACAACATGGCTACTGACAGATGAGTGGTGTGTTTCCAACCCCGGCCACTGGAGGGGAGCATGCCGAACTTTAACTGCCACGCCATCCAGGGCTTGCTGGGAAAATATTTTTCAATAAAGATGAACACATTATGTTATGTAAGGTATTTTACATGTATTTTTTTTTTTAAAGAGCCCATTCAAAGAAGAGTTTCTCACTTAACTTTGGGTAGCTCTGGACTGCAACCCCCCCATCTGTGATATGTATATGTATAGTTGTTCCCTTTTCTCTTACTGTAGGGGTACTCTGGTTGGCAGGACCAGCCACACAATTTGCAGGGTCCAGTGCAAAATGAAAATGTTGAGCCCCTTGTTAAAAATATTAAAAATTCCAGGACAGTGACAGCAGAGCCTTAAACCAGGCTCAGGGCCCCCTTCAGCACTGGGCCCTGTGTCGCTGTGCAGGCTGCAAGTCCTTGAAGGTGAACTTGCTGTTTAGAAAGCTCGAGAAGTACCATTTTCATCCCCTGAATCCCCAGATCTCACAGTGTGTCCTGCCCTGTCCTGGGGCCTTCCAGCTTGCTCTGTGTCATTGCCCGTCATGCTGTTGTCCTGCTCTGCAGCATTTCACAGGCCTCTGACTCTCTTTTCTGTTTGCTCTGCAGTTACTGATGCAAGGATTCCCCTGGGGTTCCGTCCACTCCACTGCTGACCAGCCCACCCACCTGCGCTGAGCCTTCTGGCAGGCGTCCCCCTGCCTCTGTGGGACCCTGTGACTTGGGGTCCATCTGGCCGGAGAAGAAAACCCTCTCATGCTAGCATTGCAGACCCCAGAGGGTGAGAAAAAGAGGGACCTCGTTCAGCCTTGAGACCTATGAGCTCAGCCCCCAAGGAACCAGGAGTCCCTTCTCCCCAGAGAACCAAAGCACCGACAGCTCTTTCTCCCCTGGGTCAGTGGTTTCAAACGGTTCTGTTGTCACGGACCCCTTTTGTTGTGTGTGTCCTCGCGCTTCCTGCATTTTTATCTGCCACGCTGCACCGATGAAGTAACCGTTCCCTTTCCCTCTCCAAGTTAACAAAGACGTCTCTGAGTGTACAATAAAATCAGTGTCCCAGTGATTCCTATGATGTTGTCAACAGCCAATCAGAGCTTCTGATCAGCATGAGATAATCAATGTGACCACAGTGAGTTGATAAAATTTCAGCAAGCAAAGATAACTCATGTTTAAACGTGCCTTTGTGGTCTTTTTGTGAGTAAATGTTTGGTTTCTTTTGGGTGTTGTGACATATTGAAAACAACTCTAGGATCACCAGTCCGCACTCAGTTGGCCCTCCAGGAGTCTGACAGCCAGGCTGGGAACCACTTTGGCAACTGAGGCTTGTGTTGGGTGTGCTCTGGGCGGGGGGATAGGGAATAGAGGTGTGAAGGAGCTGACCTCCTTCCTGGTATTTAAAGTCCATTTTCACCTGGGGGTTATGATGGACTGAGTTAGATGCTGCTTCTCAGTCCCACTGGTTCTTATAGCAGCAGATTGGTTCCTGCCCTGTAGTGGAGATTGAGGCACCCGATTAGATGCCGTGTCTCTTCCTGGGCTCTGCTTTGTTCCAGTTGGATTTTCGTGGATAAGAACAGGAAAGAGGAGGAGTTAATATTCCTTCTTGTGGGAATAGCTTCTCAAGGGCAGACCCTGGTCTGTTGTTTACCCCTCTTGGTGCTTTGTAAACATTTGCAGAATGAATGAGCACCCGTTGGGTCCAGGTACCATACCGAGCACTGGAGAGAGCTGAACCGGACACACTTCCTAGTCCTGGGGATTCTAGTCTAACGGGGAGACAAACCCAGTTGGTAGGTAGTGCAGACTATCTGAGTGCTACGATGAGGTGTTCATGGCCTGAGGAGGGGCTCTGACCACCTAACTTGGAAAGGAGAGTCAAAGGCAGCTTTCTGGAGGTAGGAACCTAGTGGCAAGCCAGGCAGAGAATTGGGGAAAGAGTATTTCAGGCAGAAGGAGCGACAGGAGTGCACCCATTTTACAGTTGAGGGGACTGCAACTTAGATCCCAGGGCTCCGATGGTGGCATGCTGGCCCTTCAGGATGCACTGGATGGATTTCTCCACGTCTGCACGTGGTCACTGGGGCCCTGAGTAGTTTGCAGTTGGTGGTGGGGGGTGGAGCTGACCTCCATGCCCTGCTGGCCCTGACTCCCTTCGGTCCTCTGTGTGGCAGGTCCGGTGCGGGTGCTGAGATGGCCAATGAGAATCACGGCAGCCCCCGGGAGGAAGCGTCTCTGCTGAGTCACTCCCCCAGCACCTCCAATCAGAGCCAGTCCTGTTCTCCAAAGCCCATCCGCCTGGTGCAGGACCTCCCAGGTACTGGCGAGGGGCAGTGGTGGGGGGTGGGGTAGGAAGGGTGCCCCAGGAGCAGCCCTGACCTAGCGGGGTTCCATGCTTGTTTGCAGAGGAGCTGGTGCATGCGGGCTGGGAGAAGTGCTGGAGCAGGAGGGAGAACCGCCCCTACTACTTCAACCGCTTCACCAACCAGTCCCTGTGGGAGATGCCCGTGCTGGGCCAGCATGACGTGATTGTGAGTGCCGGCCTGTGGCGGGGGCTCGGAGCAGCTTCTGGCACCTGGGCCTTCCCCAAATGTACCTTGAGCAGCTGTTAGGTGCCTAGCCTTGTGTCAGGACCTGGGGTACAATGACAAGCAAGACAGACAAAATCCTTGCCCTCATGGAACCTACACGCAAATAGGGGAGGCTGATATGTGAACAGACGACTCTAATAGTGTGTGCCATTGGACTTGTACTATGTGTTGGCCACTGTATCTGGGATGCTGTTGTGAGCAAGATAGACCTGGTCCTGCCCTTGCCCTCTCGGGGGCACACTACTGGAGGGGCCAGTGGGGTTAGAGTGCAGCAGGGATCCTGGCCTGGCTCGGGGAGGTGGGGGGGCACGAGGACAGCTGCTCTGTGAGTTAGCATTTAAGGTGAGAAGGTTAGCCAGAAAGGGGAAGAAGTGCATTCGAGGGACTGGAATGTCGTCGCGATAGGGGAGGTACAGGCACCGGTGGCTGGCGGGAACTGGGCTTTTGGATCCGTCAGTTGGAGCAGACTTTCTGAGCGCAGTCCCCGTTTTGCAGACGAAGATGCTGAAGCTCAGGGGAAATGACTGGCCTAAGACCTCAAACCATAAGAGGCAGAGCGGGACTCACACTGATGTGATACCAGGCCACACTGTCCACCATCACACTCATACTCTGTGTCACCAAAGGAGTTCCCTTCACAGGGTCTTGCTCTTTAAAAAACAAGCATTTCTTGAGTTTTTCCTTTTTTCCTGACTTTTTGGTACTTAAGGAAAAGATGTTAACATGCATTGAGCGCTGATCTCATGCCAGATGTCATGTTAAGCTGGTCATGTTCATTGACTCATTTAGTAATCTCAATGGTGAGGTAAGGCCTAGCACGGCTGTTTTAAAGGTGAGGGAGTTAGGAAGGGAAGTAACTCCCCCAAAGTTCCGTGGTTGCAAGTAGCAGGCAGCAGGAGTGGAGCCCAGGGTTCTGTCTGCATCCAAGCTCCCTCTGCTCTTCTCCAAGGAGTAGGAGCAGGGGGTGGGAGGGCATCAGAATTCTGCAGTACCAGGACTCCTAAGCCACTCGCCCTGGTTGCAACTCTGCTGGTCTCCCTCCACCAGTCGGACCCTTTGGGGCTGAATGCGACCCCACTGCCCCAAGACTCAAGTTTGGTGGAAACCCCCCCAGCTGAGAACAAGCCCCGAAAGCGGCAGCTCTCGGAAGAGCAGCCAAGCGGCAATGGTGTGAAGAAGCCCAAGGTGAGTGCGGGTTCTCAGGAACTGGCTGGTAAGAGCCAGTCTAGGCAGGCAGCCAGCAGGTTCCCTGCCAGGGCTGGGCATCAGCAGGTTGGTCAGGAGGGGGGCCCGGGGTGCCGATCACCAGGTGCACCAGTGTTGGAGCCACACACCAACTCTCCAGACCTGATGCCTTTGACTCTTTTGCTCCAGATTGAAATCCCTGTGACACCCACGGGCCCATCGGTGCCTAGCTCCCCCAGTGTGCCAGGAACCCCAACACTGAAGATTTGGGGGACGTCCCCTGAAGATAAACAGCAGGCAGCTCTCCTCCGACCCACTGAGTGAGTCCCTGTTGATTGGCTGGGGGGCCCATTGTTGATGGCCAGCCTGCCCAGGATTGTGGGATGTGGTGGCAGGCAGGGCACCCCTCCTTCCTTTTTCTTTACTTTCCTCATTGCTCCGTCTGTGCCCCAAGGGTGTACTGGGATCTGGACATCCAGACCAATGCTGTCATCAAGCACCGGGGGCCTTCAGAGGTGCTGCCCCCACATCCCGAGGTGGAACTGCTCCGCTCCCAGCTCATCCTGAAGCTTCGGCAGCACTACCGGGAGCTGTGCCAGCAGCGAGAGGGTAACTGCCTCTCGGACCTTGGCCTCCTTTATTTCCATCCACCTTTAGCAAGAGCCAGGGGTGGCCAGGTGGGCTTTGGGAATGGCACAGTGGAGCCCAGTGGTTGAGAGTATGGGCTGTGGAGGGGACAGGCCTGTTGGAGTCCCAGCTCCACCAGCTGCTGGCTCTGTGACCTTGGGCTCATGGCTTAACCTCTCTGCACTTAAGTTTCCTCATCTTTAAGAGAGGGACGGTAACAGTGCTTACATAAATGGTGGCTGGGATCGGTAACAAGAGAACAACAAAAACAATCAGTAACACTTCCAGAGTGCTTCCTATTTGCCAAGCACTGTTCAAAGCTTTTTTATGTATCCTAAAAGGGCATAAAAACGAGAGTACCTGTACCTCACAGAATTACTACAAGGAGTAAGTGGGATGGAAAGTGCTCAACAAACCACAGCTTTTATTAATTTAATTAGTAAATAAACCTGCTTAACTTTGCTGAAATATAGAATCTCTCCCTCCCCCTTTTGTACCCTTTGTAACACTTAGTAACACCCTTTATAAACCAGCGCTTCTCAGAATGGGCTGTCTTGTGGACTGTGCACCTCCCGTGCCCACGCGATGCCTCATGTGCCAGGCCCGTGTGGAGCCCACTGACTGAATCCAGACCTTCATCAGCTCTCCTGTCCTGCAGGCATTGAACCCCCTCGGGAATCTTTCAACCGCTGGATGCTGGAGCGCAAGGTCGTGGACAAAGGCTCGGACCCCCTGTTGCCGAGCAACTGTGAACCAGTGGTGTCGCCTTCCATGTTTCGTGAAATCATGAATGACATTCCCATCAGGTGCAGCCCCGCAGCTGGGTCGGCCCAGGGCCATTTGGTTTGTGTGTCCAGTCTTGTGTAGAAGGGCTCTAACTCTGCCCACTCTCTGACTCAGGTTGTCCCGAATCAAGTTCCGGGAGGAAGCCAAGCGCCTGCTTTTTAAATACGCAGAGGCTGCCAGGCGGCTCATCGAGTCCAGGTTTGGCACGCTCTCCTGCCCCCAGCAAGATGGGTCTGTGATCAGAGTGGGGCAGGTCACAGGCCATCTGGCCTGCTCCCCAGGCCTCTCTCATTGCTATTGGTGGCAGAAAGGGGGCTGGCTCCCCAAGGCAGAACAAGAGCTGCGATGTAAACCTAGGGGTTGGCGCCCAAATGCCAGTGGAAGTCGGGTGGGAGGAGGGTAGAGCAGACACTTAAACAGCGACCCTTTCTGCACCTCAACTGGCAGGAGTGCATCCCCCGACAGCAGGAAGGTGGTTAAGTGGAATGTGGAGGACACCTTCAGCTGGCTGCGCAAGGACCACTCAGCCTCCAAGGAGGACTACATGGTGAGTGGCCCTGGTCACTTCCTGAAGGCCAGTGGAAAAGCTCTTGGCCACTTCTTCCCTGAAGCCCACTGCCTGCAAAGGCTGGGCAGGGCCCCACAGCAGCCTGTTCTTGTGCAGTACAGCAGACCATTGACACTCACAGTCCCCAAACTCACGTATATGGAGATGTTTGTCTAGGCTTCTGGCTTTCTCCCAAGGAACATTTCCATTAAGTTCTTAATGGAATCCTGTGCTTGGCCACACACCATTAAGTAGCTACCTTTTCAACTTAATGAATGTTCAACATCTCCCTTGAGTAGATTTTTGGAAACAGATCGACAAACTGCCTTTTCTTGGGTGTGTGTGCTCATATCACAGTGAAGAACTACTACCAGGTTCAATTCCCTAATGTGTCCAAAACAGTTCTCTTCTCTGGCCCAAACCCATCACTTCCTTTAACTCTCCACCAGCACTAGCAATGGGCTTTCTTTTCAGGACCATTTTTCACAAGAGACAAGGTTTCGCACTTCATGATAGTAACTGTGTACTTGACACGTAGAGTGACAAAGGTAGGTGTACTCACTAGCCAGAGTGACTCATTTTCACTCATCGCTTTCACACATGTGATTCAGCTAAATTACAAATGCCTACTTATCCTTGCAAGTCGCCGAAAGCTCAGATTTCAAATCTGCAATGACCAAGGACCCCACTTTATAATTGTCTCTCCCTGATAGACTGCAAATGTTTTATAAGCGAGGACTGTGCCTTATTTGTCTGTGTCCTCAGCACGTATCATGGGATCTGGCACAGTGTAACCCCAACAATAAGTGCTGGCATTTATGGGACACTTACTGTATGCCAGGGGCTTGGTAAGCCCTTAATGGGAATCACGTTTAATAATCAAACTGCCTTGTTAGGTAAGTATTTCATGTTCTCTTAACAGCTTAGGAATAAGATTCAGGATGCCAAGGGATTTGTCCAAGTGACACAGTTAGTAAGTAGCAGAGCCAGTTTCAAAATGAGGACTGCTGGAACCCAACAGCCCTCCCCTGGCAGCCCACTGGAGCCCTGATCAGGAGTGTCTCCTCCAGGATCGCCTGGAGCATCTGCGGAGGCAGTGTGGCCCCCACGTCTCGGCTGCGGCCAAGGACTCTGTGGAAGGCATTTGCAGTAAGATCTACCACATCTCCCTGGAGTACGTCAAACGGATCCGAGAGAAGCACCTTGCCATCCTCAAGGAGAACAACATCCCAGGTAAGGGCCAGGTGGCAGGGAGTCAGCTATGATACCATCAACTCTGTCTCCCAGGCCCTGATTGAAGGGACAAGTGTGGCTAAGCCTCAAAGCCACAGTCTGGTTTGGGGAAGCCCTTTTCCCCCAGCAGTGTCTGGGGCAGGACCCGCTATGTCCTTTAGCTTGGGGTCTCAGCATTCCTCTGGGAAACAGGGAGAAGTGATGAGAAAGAGAGAGCCAGAAGGTGGGAGAGAAAGGCCAGGGGCTAAGCAGTCAGGTGGATCTGTGTTTACATCCATTCTCTGCAAGCCTCTTTCCCCAAACTGACACCTGGCTGTAGGATCCTATGAGGATTCACTGGTAATTCCAAGTGTTTGGCCCAAGAAAATCTCTAAATAAGATACTGTAACTATGATGATGAAAGCGATGCAGTTCTCATACTTCTGAATGGCAGCAACACCCACAGACCCGAGTGTGTTTACCGACCAGGCGCTGAGGCGTGGCAGACTGGGGGCTCGGCAGTACAGAACATGTCGACACAGGCCACCAGTTCTTGCCCCTGCCAGTTGCCAGGCTGCTTCCTTTGTTACTGAACCGTCTGGGCTGCAGTTTACTCCTCCATGGCAGGAGACTTACCTCCCTTGGTTACTGGGATGCGCATGTGAAGCACCTGGCAGGCAGTAGGCGCTGACGCTGTGCAGGGTGCGAACTGGCAGAGCAGGGGGGCAGGGCGGACCCTCACTGTTCTCCCTGCCCACAGAGGAGGGGGAGGCCCCAGAGGTGGAGCCCCGCCTGGTGTACTGCTACCCAGTACGGCTGGCCGTGTCTGCACCCCCCATGCCCAATGTGGAGATGCATATGGAGAATAATGTGGTCTGCATCCGGTATAAGGGAGAGATGGTCAAGGTCAGCCGCAACTACTTCAGCAAGCTGGTAAGAGCTGGGGGGAGGGGGAGACAGGTCCCCACAGGTGGGAGGAGTGAGGGCCGGCTCTGTCTTGCCCCAGAGGTGGCCAGTGATGAGGGAGTGCGGGACTACTGCTGAAGCCCACTGCTTTCTGTCCCACAGTGGCTCCTTTACCGCTACAGCTGTATCGATGACTCTGCCTTTGAGCGGTTCCTGCCCCGAGTCTGGTGTCTTCTCCGACGGTACCAGGTACAGGCCTGGAATGGTGGGGGAGCTCCTCTGGAGGCAGTGGGGAGGCCGAGCTCCTGACGCTGACTGTGGCCACTCTGCAGATGATGTTCGGTGTGGGCCTCTACGAGGGAACAGGCCTGCAGGGATCGCTGCCCGTGCACGTCTTCGAGGCCCTCCACCGTCTCTTTGGCGTCAGCTTTGAGTGCTTCGCCTCGCCCCTCAACTGCTACTTCCGCCAGTACTGCTCTGCCTTCCCCGACACAGATGGCTACTTTGGCTCCCGGGGGTGAGAGCCAGGGGCTGCTGGGCCCTCTCCTGCCTCCAGAGCACAGGTCCCGCCTTGGGCAGCTGCTTCCTAATGCTTTAGAGCTTTGGAGTCGGGTAGTCTTAAGTGTAGTCCTTGCCTTCACCCCTCCTCACCAGCTGTGAGACCTTGGATGTGGCACTGAACCTCTGGGAGCCTGGGGGTTCTCAGTGAATTAGCCCAGGTTTGGAGTAGGAACCCCTACTCCACCTACTGGAGTAGGAACCTGGAGTAGGTTCCAGGCACTGAGAGGAATGAGAAGTGTAATACAGACCTGAGACCTTACAGACTAAATGGGGGTGGTGGGGGAGATGAGCACGGATGAGAGGAGATGATGATGCTGTCTCCAATAGGAAGACGTGGCCAAGCCAGCAGGAGGGAAGGCTCAGCAGCTGGGGAGGTCCTAGGGTGGCTTATGCCGAGGTGGTAGTGGGTCAGAACTCCATTTGAGGTCCAGCTCCTCCACTGACCAGCTTGGTGGACTCGGGCCACCAAGCCTGAGCCTCTCTGTGCTCATCCATTCAATGGAGATGGCCACACCTTGTCCCAAGACAAATTAAGGGTAAATGGTGACCGGGGCCATCTCTTCAACGTGGCTGCCTGGGGTGGGGGTGGCACCTGTTTTTGGTTGAAGGACTGGGTCCTGATGGGACTTTGAATGCTCACCTCTGTCCCCAGGCCCTGCCTGGACTTCTCCCCGCTGAGTGGTTCCTTTGAAGCCAACCCTCCATTCTGCGAGGAGCTCATGGATGCCATGGTCTCTCACTTCGAGGTGGGTGTGCTGCTGCTGCTGGGGTGCAGGGGTGGCAAGCAAGATTGCCAGCCACCTAGAGGGCAGCTCCTGATGTCCACTCTCTACCCCTCCCACAGAAACTGCTCGAAAGCTCACCAGAGCCCCTGTCCTTCATCGTGTTCATCCCCGAGTGGCGGGAACCCCCGACACCGGCGCTCACCCGCATGGAGCAGAGCCGCTTCAAACGCCACCAGCTGGTCCTGCCTGCCTTCGAGCATGAGTACCGCAGTGGCTCCCAGCACGTCTGCAAGAAGTGGGTGCCTGGGGAGGTGGGGGTAGGAGGGCTGGGCTGATGGGGCCAGGCCAAGCCCCACCCTGAGCCGCTGCATTTGCCCGCAGGGAGGAAATGCACTACAAGGCTGTCCACAACACGGCGGTGATCTTCCTACAGAACGACCCTGGCTTTGCCAAGTGGGGGCCGACGCCTGAGCGGCTGCAGGAGCTAAGCACCGCCTACCGGCAGTCAGGCCGCGGCCATGGCTCCAGCTCTTCCTCCTCCTCCTCCTCAGAGGCCAAGGACCGGGACTCAGGCCGTGAGCAGGGCCCTAGCCGCGAGCCTCACCCCACTTAACACATCCTGCGGGGAGGAGGAGCCCCAGGGTGCTGGTATGGACTGCTGGGACTCAGGCCTTTTGGGGCTGAGCAGACCCCAGGATCCTCCCCCTGGGGTGGCAGCAGGACTCAGGCTGCCAATGACATAGGAAGATGATGGCTCTGCCAGGGCTCCCCCTCCCTGCCCAATCCCCCACCTTCCCACGTCAGATTCTCTCCAAGTCCCCTGTAAATAGGCCCCATGCCTTCCATTCCTTCCCTCCATCCTGTTGCCTCGTTTCATTTGTAAAAGGAAATACAGAAACCCCCCCAAGAATGTGTGAGGATCTTGAGGGCAGAGAAGGCTGAGGAACTTGGAGCTCTTTCAGGGGCCCTCCCCTTCTACAGCCAGGCTCACCATCTAATGAACCCAGGGCTCCAGTGTCTTACCTTCTCACCCTGCTGTCCCCACATCTGGGTCCCTGGGGGCCTGTGCCCAGCAGGTCTGGAGTCCAGAGCCCTGCGTCATGCATCTGCAAGCCCCAGACTCCCACAGCCAGGTCTGTGCTGATACCTCTGGGGAGCAGAGGGCTGCTAGCTGGGCCCAGGTAGAAAGCTAGATGCCTGCTGGCCCTGGAACCATCACAGTGAGCAGGCAGCCAGGTGTGTTTTAGTCAGGTGAAAGAGCAGTTCAGAGACACCACATGCATCAGGTATGGCCTTCATGTAGATGAGCACCTGGCTGCACTGCCCTCTGAGGACCTCTAGGCATGGAGCAGATGCTCCCCTGGGGCCCAGAGGAGGAAGCAGGGTCTGAAGGTGCTCAGTGGGGCTCTCACTGGCTCAGCCATCTCTCCCATCATCAGGCCTCTGCCCCAAGGGTCTGCCCTGCCGTTGGGCCACTGTACTTACAGAGGCAGGGCAAGATGCACTGTGGGGCCAGGCAGCCTCCACCTTACTCCCACCCTTGTGGGTGTAACAGGCTCCTCCTTCCGCCTGCTTCCCAAGTCCGTGCCTGGTTCAGGCTGTAGCAGCAAGTGGACAAAGTAAGCTGGCCAGGGCTGGACTCTGGTCCCTTTATTGAGACTGAAGAGCCAGTGGGTCCATCCAAACAAAAATAAATTTCTCTCCCAAAGCCTGCCTGCAGGCTGAGGCACCCAGCAGGTCCTGGCTGGGGCCCATGGCTGTCCCCTAACCCCAGCAGCACAGGTCTGGCTCCCCTGGAGTGACAGGATGCTGGCTGCCCAGTAGCTCGCAACCCTAGGTGGAGCAGGGAGGTGAGTCCCAGTGGGTTCCTCCCACCCCCAGCAGGGCTGGCCCCAATATCCACGGTCTGCTTTGCGTTCCTGGGCTTCAGTCATCAGCCAGGGTGATAACATCATACTCGATGCCCTGGTGTTGCAGCTGTTGGATGTGTTCAGGCACTGCCTCCTCTGTGCCAAACAGGCCCTGGGCTTGGGCCATAGCAGCATCAGCCACCGCTGTTGGGGGGCAGGGGGAAAGGATGGTGAGCCTCAGGCCCCAAAAGCTAGGCATGAGCCCCAGGCCCCCACAGTCCTCAGGGTCTAGCTCCATACCTGTGACAGCTGAGTGTGCTGCAGCCTCAAGCTGGGCCTGTGTGACCAGCTGCTGGCCCGGGGACACAGGCACGTACTGGATCTGGAAGGGAGAAGCCGATGAGATGTGGCCCTGGAGGGGTCCTGCCCATGCCCCATTTTTACCTGGTCCCCCAAGGACCCCACCTGGGACTCCTGAAGGAATGGGGCTCCTTGTTCGTACTGGATGTGTGTGATCTGGCCCTCTTGTACCTGGAGAGAGAAAGCCAAGCTGATGATTCCAGAAGAAGGTGGTACATCCCCCCTCTCACTTCTTACCCTCGCCCCAGGCCTGGCGTACCTGGATGTGATGACCTTCTGGGACCACGACATATTCTTGGGGGAGTAGGTGCTGGACGCCATCTTGGGAAATGATGTACTGTACCTAGAGAAGTGTGGCAAGGAGGCAGGTGCTGCGGCCCCACTCACCAGGAGCTCAGGGAGGAAGACGACGGGGCCAGGGACACGCCCCATCAACCACAGCAGCTGCAAGCACGGACACTGGGAGGGGTGGTTTGTAAAGTACTTTTCCTCCCCACAGTGGGCCTTAAGGAGAAGGGCACGGGGCTGAGGTGGTCAGCAGCAGCTCACCTGGTTGTCAGAGGTCACTAGGTGCTGCACTGTTTGGCCATCTGCTGTGGTGATCTCTTGGATATAGGTGGCTTCCTCCTGCCAGGGCCAAGCTAGTTCTAGCCTCAGCTCTCTGTGTGCCCCCACCCATGCCTGCGGCCTGTCAGCAAGGCCCCCAGCCCAGGCTCTCACCTGATTGGTCACTGTCTGCTCCTGGGCCACGATGATGTGTTCCTGGCCCAGTGCCTGCTGTAGCCGCTCTGGGCCCAGGACCCCATGACTGGACTGGAGTGCAGCTGGGCAGAGAGGGGAGCATGCTCACTTGGGCTCTGGGGAAACCTGAAATACCCTGGCCCCCACCCTTGCCCAATGGTGCTCTCTGGGGCAGGGGCTCAAGTGCCTGGTCCACCCTGGGGCCCCAGAAGCAGCTCACTGTGCAGTGTGGCCAGTGTCTCATCATCACTGTTCAGGATGATGGTTTGGGTGGGGGTCCGGGCTGGGGCCCGGGCAGTAGGGGTCCCTGCCTTTCTCCCATCAGGACTGTGCAGCCGCTGGATGTGGAACTTGAGGTGCCCATTCCGGTTGAAACTGGAGGGGAGGGAAGAAGGCTCAGGGGTGGTCCCACCATGCATGCCCAGCAGCCCCTGCCCATCTATACCCAGCCTTACCGCTGCCCACAGAGGTGGCACGCAAAAGGCTTCTCGTTGGTGTGGGTCAGCATGTGCCGCCGCAGGTCTTTCTTGTTCTTGGAGGCGAAGCTGCATTGGCTGCACTGGTGGGGCCGCAGGCTCGAGTGCTGGGCCATGTGGGCCTGCAGAAGGAGCAGAGTCAGGCACCGGTGGGTCAGGACAGACAGCTCCCCACAGACAGAGCTGTCAGGGAACCTGTTCTCAGGTGAAGTGGATCTTGGAGGAGCTGGTAAAAACTACAAACCAGACCAAGATCTGGTGCTGCTGTGTGCTGAGAGGGGAAAAAACCACAGACTTCTGTCATCAGGTCACTTGGAATACCCTGTCCTTGCTTGGACTCAGTTTACTCCGTGCAACTTACAGATTCAGACGAGGGGACCTCTGAAGGTCTCTTCCAGCCCTGACATTCTAAGGTTCTGGGCCCTGCTCCCCTCACTGAGGTGCTGTGAGGATTTAGTGCATGGCTGGATCTGAAAACCGGTAATCCTCGGGTGAGTGGAGGGAGCCCCCCAAAACTGGACTGTGAACCTGCCACAGAACCTCCCTCCCTCGGCTTCTCCACGTCGTCTCCCCTGCTTCCCTTGAACTCTGCCCTCATGTTCTAGACCATTACAGTTTCCCTAAACATGCCTCACACCGCCACGCCTGTGTCTTTGCTCCTGCAGGCCCAGCTTAGCCATCACCACCTCTGTGACGTCTCCCCCAGCACTCTACGTCCACACGACCCATTCCCTGCCTGTGTTCTGCCATGCACACTCTGTTCACTATGGGGACACTGTCTGGTTTGCCTCCCCACCAGACTGAGCTCCCCAAGAGTAGGCCCTGCTGAGTCATCTCTGACCCTAGAGGGAAGCAGAGGGCCTGGCTCCGGGAGGGCTCAGTCAAGGTTTGTTACACAAACGAATGTCAGCGGAGGCATAGGCGACAACACCTACCCGGACTTCAGGCCACTGGCGAGCACTGAAGGGGCAGTCGGGGCACTTGAAGGCACTAGGCCCGGCGTGGGCCCTTTTGTGACTCTCCATCTCAGCTCGGCCCGGGAAGGCCTCAGCACAGATCTTGCAGGAAAACTTCTTTGACGATGCCATGGCTGCCGAAGGTGGCGAGGGGGGCACCACCAGCCCCAGGGGTTTGCTGGCTGCAGGAGGTGGGGAGGCAGAGCCCTGGGGGTCCCCTACCCGGTGGGTCCTGGCTGGAGATTGGGGCTCAGGGCCGTCTCTGGGCAGCCCCCCACACTGCAGCAGGGGCCACTTGGCTCCAGAGGCCAGGGCTTCTGGAGTTGGGAAGGAGATGGAGCCATCTGCAGTCAGCTGTAGAGAGATCGGGGAGCATGAAGAGCTGAGGCGGGGAGGGAAGGAGGGTGGGGAGACGGGGTAGGGCTCACTACCCCAAGCCTCACTTCGATGTGGTGCAGCTGGGTCCCATCGGCTGCCATGATGTAGTGGGTGCCAGCTTCTTTCAGGGTGTCGCTCACAACCACTGCCTGGGCTGCCTCCCCGGGGGGCTCCTCGCTGCGGGCAGAGAGGAAGGGAGGGGTGAGGCAGGGTTCTGAGAAGGTATAGAGGGCCACACGAGTCCCTTTCTCCAAGAAAGTCATCAACTGAGGTGACTGCCACCACAAATGGACTCTCTGGTTTGAATCCTGGCTCTGCCCTTTACCAACTGAACCTCCACTCTCTCTTCTCTAAATGGTGACCATGTATCCAGCATGTCATCCTTCTCACATATGATAATCCCTGCCCCCTTAAGGGGGCAGTGAGGCGAAGGGCCCCAGGGGTCCAGCCCAGGTCTGGCCAAGTGGGGCAGGAGAAGGCCAGTGGGGGAGGCAGGGCTGACAAGGACCCGCAGCCCACGAGTAGAGGGCAGAGGCTGACAGTCTGCGCTGCCTAGGTGCTGCCTCAGGGATCCTGATTCCCACTCCAGCTGAACAATTTAGCATCTGGATTCAGGGCTTCCTCAGATGGCCCAGGGGTTCAGTGAACATATACAATATAATCATTTCTGCCCCAAACTCGCTTAGTGTAGATGAAGCCAAGTGCCGCTGCCGGGCCTCCAACGCCAGCAAGGAGCCTGAGCTTGCTCCGAAGGTCACAGCTGGAACCACCTCAGGGATCATCCAGAACAAAGATCACACAGGTTTCAGAACCAAAGGGAACGGGGTTCAAATCCTCGCCTACTGCACGTCTGACCCCAGGCGAGTTATTCAACCTCCTGGGCCTATGGCCTCATTTGTCAAATGAGGGAACCGCAGCTCTCACGGGAATGGTTTAGGTGACTTCATAACGTCAAGTGCCTGGAACATGTGAGTGGCCATAAAACTGCAGCTCCTGACCTCCTGAGAAGGAGATGACTCCCCTACAGCCTAATCACTTCGTACATATTAGGATTTTTGCCACCTGCCAACAAGGCTTGGGTGGGCAAGGTCCTCATCTGACTCCCCCAAGTGCGTCTATAAATGGCTGCAGGGGGCGGTGCAGGCAGCA